GAATGCAGGGACTCATGGGGTTGAGAGGCCACCTGCTCATCCCAGAGGGCAGATCAGAGTCAGGACAGTGTGGCAAGGATGACACCGAGGTGTGGGTGTCACTCCGGTGAGACTGTGGGGCTTGCTTCTGAGCCTCGCAAAGTCGGGCAAGGCCGGGGGGGCAGGGAGCGAAGCAGGCGCCTCGGGTGTGGCTGCACGCCCACAGAGGCCACGTCAGGACCTTGGGGGACCATAGTGCTTTTGAGAGTTGCACTGCCGAAGAAACCAGGACGCTGCGACTAAAAAGTTTGTGACTAGAGACTTGAAAATGGCCTCGGCGGAGAAGAGGCCGAGGAAGCATTTCAGCCCCAGAGAGGGCTTGGCCAATGCCGGGATCAGGCGCGGCCAGTGAGACGGGAGGCGGCCGGACCCTTCCCAGGGCAGAGCCAAGGGCCACAGAGAACCCAGGACTGGGGGAGCCTGGCCCAGGAGGGGGTCCCTGGCGGGCCTCTAACACTGCTATGGGGCGGGGGCTGCTGGCCCCCCATGTTTCTCCCTCTGCAGGGATGTTGTTGCTGCCGCCCTGTCCCTGTTCCCCGCGGGCGGGTGACTGGCCTTCCAGCTCACGAGTGGCTGGGCTGAGTGGAGCTCCACTGGGCCCTGGTGCTGGGACAGCCCCCCGAGACCTTGGACCGTGACTGGATGGGGCCAGGTCACCTCCTGGCCGGGCCAAGGGGGTGAGGTGGAGGGGTTGCATCTTGAGTGCAGGAAGGAGAATCACTGGGACATCTGGTGACCTGGGGGGCCGGATGTGGCAGGGCCAGGGCTGCGGGCCCACCATTTGTGGTCCTCCCACGCCCTGGCCCCTTGGGTAGAGGGGGGCTCTGTGACTGGGTCCGGCCAGTTGGTCAGGTGACATGTCACTGCGGGGCCAGAGCATGTAATGCTGGTGGGAGACCCACATCAGAGGCGTGCCACCCCGTGAGCCCAACCCCGCGGGCAACGAGGAGGACCAGGGCCCGATTGCTGCCCTTTGTCACAGTGGCTGCATCAACCCCAGCGTCCACAGCTTAGCCATCCTTCGTGGTGATGCCCCAAGTGGAGTCCCCAACCTCACTCCCTCGTCCAAGCCCCACCAGTACCTGCAGCCTCGACTGCACCTGTGCTTGCAGACGTCCTTCCTTCTCCATCCCCCAAAGTCACACTCACCTCTTCCTTTACTCCAGTTTGGGATGGGGGACCACTGCTGAGAAAGGCCTGCAGCAAGGGTGGTGACAAGTGGCCTCCACTTGTTTGGGGGTCCGGGGTGGGAGGGGAGGGGCTGGGGAGGGTGGAGGGTGCCGCTGGCGCTCAGACCCCCAGGGCTGCCGGGCAGGATCGGGGGCTTGCGAGGGCAGAGCCGGGATGGCCAGGAGAGGCTGGGGGGCAGAGAAAAGTCTCAGCCCTAGCCAGCCCCTCCGGCCTCTGGCCGGCGTGTCTGGCGGTGGCCCGCTCAGGACCCGCCGGCGGCGGCAGCTGGGCAGGTGCGGAGGAGCTGGGACGAACAGGCCGGGAGGCAGTTTGCAGAGTGGAGGTTTAATGGGAGTCACGGTGACCCTGCACAGTGGTCCCCCAGGGGGCCCGGCTCTAGGCACTGGGCTCCCCAGGCCTCCTCCAGCAGGGTGGGCCTAGAAGGAGCACCAGTGCCGCCCGCCCCTCCCTGTGTGTTATTGCTGCACTGGCCCCAGGCAGCCCCAAGACACACTGTCCTGTCCCACTGCCCCTGGGGCCTGGGATCCCGTGTTCCCTGAGGAGCTAAGGCTTTCCGGGGGGCCCCTCCCCAGGGACATCCACCCTCTCCTCGGTGTCCCTTGCCCCCCACACGGAGGGCATGTCTGCGTCCTCTGCCGGAGGCCAACCGAGGCTGCCATCCCTGGGGGTGGGGTGCGGGGTCCGCGGGCAGGAAGCACGCTGCGGGGACAGCGTGGCCCGGGCCCCCGGCAGATGTAAGGCACGGTGTGGCGGTCGCCATCGACCCAGGGGCAGCGCCTGGCAGTCAGTGTTGAGACAAGAGGGTGTGGCGTGTGCTGGCCGCTCTAGGCCCGCAGTGCAAGAGGGCTGGGGGGACCAGGTCCCCGGGCCTTGGCCGGCCCCGGGGGTGCCCCCAGAGAGCCTGCAGGAGGGGTGCGCGGGCCCGGCAGAGCTCCTGGCCAGGCTGAGGCGTGGTCACGGTGGGCCGAGGCCCGGAAGGCACAATCGTGGTGTCGAGCAGTCAGGGCTCTAGGCAGACACGTTGACATCCCTGAGAGAGATGGCGCTGCCGGGGGCCTCGTCCCCAAGCAGCAGGGCTGGTGCGTCCGCGTCCGCCTCCGAGTCCGCTCCGGCCCCGCCTGGCTCCACGCTGGGCTCTGTGCTGGGGCCCAGGCCCTGGGACAGGATCTGCTGGATGGTCCGGCGCAAGTTGGGGTGCAGCCGGCCCTGCGTCTGGTAGAAGACCTCCAGGGCGAAGGACTTGAGGGCGCCGGTGCAGAGGTCCTCATACAGCGGGATGGTGTACATGCGGGACATCTGCGGGCGGCCGCTTGTCACACTGGCCGCTCCCCGGCCTCTCCCGCCCGCGGGCCCCAGGGCTGCACTCACACTGCCGCAGGGGGGGCCCCACTGTCCTTGCCTCCACCACTGCAGGCCTCTGTAGAGGCCCCATCTCCAGGGAGCTCGGGCTAGGGGGGCACTGCCAGGGGACAGGTCTGGGGAGTGGGGAGGCCGGGCCCCCGCAGGCCTGGGGCCCTAGGGCCTCTGAGGAGCTCAGATGCCCCAGCTGTCCATGCCCAGGGCCCAGTGGGCCCAGACCCCCACCCCGGACTCTGCTCTCGGCCTGGCCCTCGGGCACCACCTCCCCAAGGCCCGGCGGGGTCTGTGCTCTTTCCCCCACTGCCAGCCCCGACGCCACGTCTTCCCCACCCAATTCTCTGGGATGCCCAGGCTGAGTGGGCAGGGGCGGGG